TTTGTAAGACTAAGTGTTATGTTTGTTTGATTAGTTGTCTGGAGTAACAAACATCTCTGTTCTGCTTTAGTTGTTGTGGTTTGTAAGACAAAAGACAACTAATCAAACAAATATAAACCTGTAATCCTAGAGAATATCATCACACATCAAACAATTCCACATCTGTCCTTACCTACCTATAAGTTCAAGTTCAGTATTAAATCTACCATCTGTTTTCCTCAGGGTTTAATCTCAGAAACTCGTATGTTGTGCCCATAGTTTGTAATCAGTACCATGTGCATTTGCAATAATCAAAGTGGAAACAGAGCTATCTGACATGTGGTTATGAATGTGTGGTGTGTTCTACATGGTATGCATTGTTATCTTGTTTTAATAAAAGAAGCATAATCGGTTCTAATAGCAAGAATTGCTTGGTATTTAAAGCACACTGTAATGAGCTAGAAGTAGAAAACATCTGAAAAGGACATACGTTGAACAAACAAAATCACAAAAATTATGACAAAGTTTTACTACCATATTAATTACACGAGTAGATAAATTCATAAAATTTAGTTTAGCAGCTGTGGATATCATACTTGTAAAGCTAAAAGATTCATTTTTCCATTTTCATTAAAAACTGATTTCACAAATTTCAAGTTTACAGAACCTATTTTTCCATCACTGCAATAGCTTTCGAAACAACTGTGTTTGTTGCTTATTTTATTTGTATACTTTTCTAGTTCAAGACTTAAAACATAAAACAGCAATCTGAACTACCAATATTATTAAACTGATATACAGTAGTTGGGATATGAAGAACCACGTCTCTATAAAATAGATGTTCCAGTGAATTCCTATACATATTCAAGGTGATGCAAAAGTCATGACATTTCTAAGTCCCACCCTTATTATTATTTTCTTACACCATGATTGTATTTCACTAACTGTCATATTGTTTTTGTTACAATAACGGTTTGTGATGTCATGTGGAAGTGATTCTGTTTTGACATTCTGTTATGATATCACATTTCCACAGCTGTAAAGGCAGAACCTAGAAAAAATCTTGATTATGCATGAGTTTTGGATCATTTTGTACGTATATGTTAGTATTCTGAAAATCAGGAAAGGAATTTGTCAAAAGTAGGTTCTTGAATGAGTGTTGTACTGCAAGATGAGAGAAAAAAACTTTGATAAAAGATAATAAAGAATAAATTGACACATCTAAATAAAAACTTTTTCTAGTTTATTTTCTGCAACATTTGAGCAGACACTAGGTTCACAAACTATTTTAACAGAATCTGCCTCTGAACATTAATATAACCTAAAAGACTCGTGTTTAAACACTACATTAGTCAGGACATATTTCTTTGTGTCACAATCCAACTAGTGGCCATCAAACCTCTGACAGCATGATCCAAGCTGAATGAAATACATTTTAAATTATTTTTATTTATAGTAATCTCGGCAGTTGTCCTAGTCATGCTTGTGAAAGTTGTTGTTGGTATTGTGCTACTCAGTGTCTAAATGCTTTTTCAAACAAAAAAAAAATGAGAGGTTTGAAGTTAGCCTAGCATTGTTTATTTATTTATGTTGTCAACACAAGAATGAGATGAATTCTGGGATACTGTAACTGTGAGCTTAAAACCATGCTATCTTATATCGTAAATGGGTTTTCTTCTAGAATTTTTTTATTGGGAGGAAAGGAGGGATTTTATTTGGTGACTTGTGTTGCATCAAAAGTGCAGTAGCCGCTTGTCTACATACATTGTCTAGTTGTATACTGCCTAGGTTTATTTACATGCCTAAAATGGTACAGTTTTAAAGGTATCAAACTTTGTCATGTCAAAGTTATCAACTAAAATAAAATTCTCAAATTTTAGAAAAAAACTAACAAAAACTAGAGGGGAGAAATCAAGTTTTAGGGAGCCCCCCCCCCTGCCTGTGGTAAAATGTTACTCTAAAAGCACTGACATACCTTAAGGGTTCTCGATTCAACCTTTGGCCATTAAATGATATACAATTCGTTTATATAATAACAATGTGAATACTCCAACACTACACAAACACGTGTATTCACTTGTGTGTCAACAGTGTTTAATATGGTCACTTATCTTTTTGCAAGTGAACCTATGCTCAATAATGTCAATGAGAAATTGTATAATGAGATCAGGGTTGTTTCTAATAAGCATATTGATGCAATAATCAGGAGAGACTATTTTTTAGCATACTAATTTGAGAGTATATTGAGTCAATAGACAATAGTGAGAGAGAAACTTGTTCAAGATGGTTTTCTATACAAAATGGTCAAGGAATTAACCAGAAGGATATCATTTTAGACTTATTGATGAGGATGTGGTTTCAACAGTTGAAGTGGGGAAGAGTGATCAAAGCACAATTAGGTTTGATGTTCTCTATATGTTGATATCGAGAAAAATTAAGTTTTAGTTCTTAATGTTCAAAATATTATTTATGAAAACATGAAATAATGTTTATCATTAGTGAATTGGGATAATGTGCTAAAAGATGTGGGACTGGTTTGGGAAAGTATTAAAAATTAATCCAAGATAGGCACGTTCCTTTTCAACAATAACAGGGAAGATTAAACCTATATGATTTACTAAAGATATAAAGGAGAAAACTAGAGATAAATACCACAAATTTATGAAGCTTAAATTAACAAACAGGATAGAAGGTTTACAGAACTATCAGAAAGCTAGCTAGCTGATTAAAAAAAATAATAAAAAATAAAAAAAGAGGTTATAAGAAACAGCTTGTTGATAGTGTTAAAAATCAATAAAAAAGGATTGTTTTAAACATATAAGCAAAATGTTAAAATGTAAATTAGATTCTTGAAGGATGTTCATAGCAAGGTTTTTCTAGAACATATGAATCAAAAGAAAGATTATCCGTACAATTATTAGATAGTATGGGTGTATGGTATTTTTTTCAATTAATATAAACATTCAAACATAAACATCATAACACACACAATGCCTTCACTTATATATATATATATATATATAATAAAATATGCACTATTTTTGAGACAATTAATAGAAGTTTATAGTATTTCTCAAGCTACCTGAATCTATAACAACTGTTAGAGCAAGAAATACGTCTCAGCTACAAAATTGATCTGTGGTTAATATAAAATGTATTCACTCACTATAAAAACTAAGAAGGAATTTAGAACCAGGTAACCTAACTATGTAAAACAGAACTACCAATATATTCTTAAAAATGTAAGGTTTCATAAATCTACAACATGCAGTGTCGATTCCTCTTATAGCAGATACAAGAATGGATTGAATGTTTTAAAAATAATGGATCATGAAACTTTGTATTTATGCCAGTATAATGATCAAGGTGTTTAAATACCAATTCTGATGATCTATGGGTGTCCTTGATTGGCTATATCTTGCAGAAATTCTTACATTGAAATATGGGTTAATAAAGCATGTAACTTACAACTACATGAATTGCGAAAAAACATTTAGTGCATGTATAAATGTTCATGAGTTAATAAAGCATGTACTTTACAACTACATGAATACTGAAAAGATGATCAGTATATGTATAAATGGGTTAATAAAGCATGTAATTTACAACTTTAAGAAAAAATGTAAGTGTATAATTAACTATGCTTATTTTTTGCTAATATAAACTCAAGCACTGTTTTTCAGTGTTTCTATTATTTCAAATGACTATGATATAGTGTTTTGTTTACACAAAGTTTATCATGCCATAAACAAAGAACCACCATAAACTGACTTAAGTCATTTCTAATCTCACAATATTCTATTATACATGAACATATATTGTGCATGTTATCATGCAACAATTATATGTCAACATATGATGTTAAGTTTTTACCTCTTAACAAGTAACATAGATCTGTCAGCCAAAAACAAAAAGGATTACATCAATGACATGAACATGCAGGTATCATACAAAGTAACAGGATGTTTGTACACAATATTAAATATTTGAAAAATTACATACATCGCAAAATGGATAGCATTCTTAGTTTGTCAATGATGTAGAACTAAAGTATCATGTCAGGCATCATTAGTTTTACTCATAAATTTTAAAAGCTAACATTAGCAACATGGTGTACAAATGCTTACCAAAGCAAAATTAAAGAAGACAAAAATTACTCATTTAAAAGTATAATACTTTTTTAATTTCAGAACATAAAAGCAGAAAAAGATCTCTCATATAAGCAAACAACTGCTTGGATTTTTTGCACCTAAATGCCACAAGTACAGGAGTGCAGTACATAAATAAACATACATGTATAGGCATAGTATATGCGTGAGCACATATTTCTAAATCTAATCAAACACCATTTTATTCTGTGTATTTGTATTTTATTAGCTGCACAGATGTTGTAAGCATTTTCATATTTCTGCTTTCATATGTACTGAAATGTTTATCAATATGCATAAGAATTCAATGCAAGAAGAAATTTTACCGATATATCAAAAGCATTAATGAGATATGTTCAAATACAGGATTATTTTGGACTTTCTTGTATGCACTGATTTTTTTTTAACGCAAATTTCCTTTAATATTAAGTTTCTTATTAAATAGATGTTAAATGCTGACAATAATTTAAAAAAGGGTAAATTAAATGCCTGTATGCTGACAGTAGTAAAGAAGATGAAACAAAAAACTCAGCTGTTTAAAAAAGTTATCATCGAAAATCATCAAATTAGAGTATGTTGTCTCTTGTATATTTTGAATCTTACTGATACAAAAAAGCGTAACACGCAGCAAATACAACAATTACTGATTAACCGATGCTAAAATATCAAAAACACTTATTTTCACATTGTTTAAAGATTGTTTAGATGTCTTTTCCTACATGTACAAAAATTAGAGTAACTCTGAATTATTTTATATTTGGAATGGCTTACTTCTGATTACATGAATGTCCTTACATTCTTAAAATAAAACACTTTTATACACAGCCAACTTTTACAATGGCTTTTCTATATATATATAACCACCAAACTTACCAAAATGCTTTTTCAATACTTGAGGTTTAACTATCTTTCCACACCATTCACAAACGACCAGAAAAAAATCATCCCATGCTGGACAGAAACCGAAAAGACTCATGTCTGAAATAGAATGAAAAAACAAAAAACTTCATGTTCTTCAGAAACAAAAAAAAAAAGACAACAATATGGTAGATATAGTGTGGTTAACATATTACAATGTATTCTTCTTTAAATATAGTGTGGCTGACATATTACAATGTGTTCTTCTTTAAATATAGTGTGGTTGACATATTACAATGTGTTCTTTTTTAGATGAAGTGTGGTTGACATATTACAATGTATTCTTCTTTAAATATAGTGTGGTTGACATATTACAATTATTTCTTTTTTAGATGAAGTGTGGTTGACATATTACAATGTATTCTTCTTTAAATATAGTGTGGTTGACATATTACAACATATTGTTTTTATGTGTATTCCATATATAATATTCCATGAAACAAAAATATATAAAAGTACTACTCTGTACATTATATTCAACTCATGACAACAGTAATTCCCTTTCCTATATTCAAAACTCTTTACATGTAATCACATATATTATTTACAATTGTGTTGATAAAACACATCAACAGCAGAGATAATGTAAAATGCTATGTACATTAAGCCAAACACATATTTTGATGGATACCGTGGTATCAACAGTGTTCTACATTACTAAGTACTATATTTGATATGAGGTGAAAAAGAACGTCTCAATGTTCTTCAACAGAAAACAGAGCAAACCATCTAGAAAGCATCTCAATATAACTCAGAGAAGATGTCAAGGACATGCTGCCACTCCTGTTAACACCAAAATAATAAATGGAATAAAAGACTATTTTTAAACTAGATAGTACCTCAATAATGTCTTTGGACAGAAGAGCACACACTTGTGATATATGAATACACCATGCATTTCTATCTTATAGTATCTATCCTGAATTTATTCTTTGTTCTGTATATGTGCAGGTTTCACATTGCACGTGGTTGAGAAAGTCAATTTTTTTCTAGCTGCCTTTGTTCCTTTGTCGTTCTCTAGTAGATATTTCTTGTTCTGCCCACTGCGATATTTCTACAGTATTGCATGTTGTGCAAGATTGTCACCAGCAGTGTCTTTCAACAGTTGTTCACGTGATATATAGAGGTTAAGACCTTATCAATGTTGGATTGAGAATAACCAGTCATGTGGATAGCACTAGTCACTCTGAATAAATATGACATTTATTGAGAACTAAGGAACATTTGATTTAGACAATGTGGAAAAGGTTCTTGAAGGAGAAGCAGTTGAGATAATCTTGTTTAGTGTTGTAATAAAGATTTTTCATTTTACATTTCACTTTATTTCCAGTCTCATTATTCCATTTAACTTCACAACTCAGTAAGAAATTTAATGTTAAATTGCAATCCATATTTTGACTGAATCTTCATTTAAGCTGACCTATCCAATTGCTAAACAGTTAACTTAGTTTTACCTGAAAATACCAAACAGTCTGTTTCAAAACTGCATGTGATGAGAATTAATAGAAAAGTGAAAAGTCATTCAGTGTAGGAAAAGTCAGGATTGGGCTACCTGCAAGACTCGATGATCAGGAATATATGGAAGTTACACAAGAATGAAAGAGTGATTATCTCTGGAAAGCATGAAAAGAACCACTAGAAGCAGATAAAGGATCTTATTTCACAATCTAACTGTGAGGAATTTGTTGGGGGATAGCAAAGTCTTAATAAATTCACAGCTGAATGTCAGAAAGATGGTAAAATATTTAGGTCTTCAGTTACTGAAAGACTCGATAGCTACCATCAGATTCAGAAACAAGAGCACTCTTAAAAATCTGCAATCAAATTAGAAAACAATCTGTATTATCAGTGAATCAAAATATCATGTTGTATGCATGAAAGCTAAATATAATCAAATTATATTTACAGCTGGTATATGAAATTGTAAAATACAAAAAGACTATACTGCAATTAATAAAAATTATGCAAATTACTAAGGATGAAACAAGTGAAATTTCCAATTTTTCTAATAACTCTTGATGGCACTTAGCAGTTAATGAGAGCTAGCATAATCAATATATAAACTTTTTCAGAAAAGTAAGTTCTTTACTTTTCTGATTTTAAGTGACTTTATTGTTATCTTTTCAGGAAATTATTGCTTGAAAATCAATTGAAAAACATTTTATCATAAATTGCAAAACAATTAGAAAAAGAATAGTAAAGAGAACAGCACATCTGGAGCCGCTTGTTCTTGCCAATAAAAACGGTACAAATACTTACATGAATACAAATATACTATGATGTTAGTTGTAGCATTGCTTATTAAAATTATTTATTTAATTCTGTAAGTCACACTAATATCATGAGACAAAATAGTTTATTAGAGTAGTTTATTTAATGATAATGTTAGACAAGACTTAAAAAACTCACTGCATTTTATGAAGATTTCAAAGCCATACAAGCAGTTTTAAGCTAATAATGTTTATAATATTTGTGTCATAACAAGATAGTGTTAGCTTCACTTGCAACTGACTAATGAAAAAGTTTTCATTGTGTATAACCATTACCGTATGATACACTTACATGTAAGTAAATAAACAGTATCAAAAATTTCACTTCCCCTGAGAACAAAAACGCTTTAATAATAAATACCTGTTTGAAATGAAAATAATCACATCTTAATTTCCACTTCATTATCATTCCTATAGTCAAATGTCTTCAAATTTATAACACACAAAAATTGATTAAAACTCACCTTCTTTCTTCAGTTGCAGTGCACCTGCTTCTTTCTTTTTAGAATTATTAGCTTCATCATCATCATCATTTTCATCAATGCCTGAAAATAAAAATATAATTTTTTTACACCCAAAATGCTCCCAAGCTTTCCACAACAGAACAACAATGTATAAAAAAAAAACAATAATAAATTTTAGGCATGCAACAAAGATGCAGGGGCAGAACATACATTTCCATGTTTGTATTTACAAGCACTGAGTTATTAGTTAAGACATTTATTTACATAAAACAATCTTTCGTATGGACTACATTCACAGCTACATAATACACATTCATGGAATAAACCTCAAATAAAATATATCAATTTTTCTCAAACAACAGTTGTTAAACCTAAAATGAAATAACTTTTAATATTTGGTAAAAAAGCTGTCAGAATTTAGTTTCCTCATCATCATATATAAACTTTTATTTCAATACAGAAGATCTCAAGCATTTTCAAAAGCTTTTCATCAGTTACATGTACACTGGTATTCCACTCAATGAAGAACTCTTAAAGTACTTTAATCAGAGCACCTGTTAATGCAAACTTGTGGTAATATTATGCAAAGAATTCTGCCTGTATGCAAAACCTGATATGTGTGTATTGGATATGCTTCTTTTTTTTTGTGAAAACTAACATTTTGTCTTGACGTTGCAAGAGGACTTCTTAAACTCTAAATGATATAATCACTGTCAAAGTTGTTTGCTTTCTCTGTTGATTTTGATCATGGATCTTACAACAGTCAGCAGCTGTAGGCTAGCCAGCCCTTTACATGTAGGATACTGGAAAGTGTAAACAAGTTTGAAAGATGAAGTTAATATCTTGTTTATGGTGACAAACTAAAGTTCATTGAAGAAATATAGTTTAAAACAACTACTTTTTACTGAATGTTTTTTATAATTACTGTGAATGAAGGATAGGAATGAGTGAACTATCAAAGTAAGTCTGAACACTGCAGAAGAAATATGACTTTCAGTCACTTCTGTGTATTTTTAAGTAACTTAAATATAAAACAAATTCAGCTCTAGCATGATAAACTCTGAAAACACAAAGAAATGGTTGACAATGATCAGCATAAATGGGAAAAAAATATATGGAAATGTTTCTACCAAATGGCCTTCTTTGCTACCACAAGTAACAAGTAGAGGTAGGTACAATACAGTAATATCTGGAAATGCAAAGAAATGGAGTAAAATCAATTCAAGAAGAAAAATATTTGTTTGTTGATGTTACCACCACATGACATTCATTGGGACCACAAATAAACAAATGCAAATACAGCATGATGTAAAAAAAAAGAATTGCATAGCGATGTTTCAACCAAGTGACTTTCTAAGGATCTTAGCAGTAATGTATGTGATGATATACAAAGACAATGCTACTTCCTGGTTGGGAGAGACCCAATAAGAAGATGAAATAGTGCAAGCTTATTTCTACCTTTCAATGTAGTATGTATGTGTATGATATTATTCACTAGTCAGTTACCTCCTGACATTAATAGCCATTTACTGTAATAATAGAAAAATATCAATACGGCTAAGTGACAAGTAGTGTAGTTGGGTCAAGGTATTTAGAGATAACCAAAGTAAGAAGAAACTGATTCTGACAATCTTATTTGTGCATCATTTCTTTTTAGCAACTTATTGTGTTATCTAACTTGTTTATTTCATGTTATGCATTTTTAATCAACTGCAACCCATGACTATGTATCAATGTGATTAAGAATTAGAAATTGGGGATTTCCTCCAGCAACTTGGATGTGCCCACCCAACTACTTTCAGCTGTGAATCTTCCACTTCTTAAAAACAAAAAATAAAAGCATTCTTTATTAAAATAAAATTTTATTGAACATGGATGCAAGTTATTTCTAGATGTGCATATTTGTCTTAGTGAAACGACACTAAAAGAATCATAACAACATGAAGAATTCTTGTACATGCTTAAAAAATAAAACCAAGAATGGCTTTACCAACATGAATTAATTCACACTCTCATGTTGTTCTTAAATATCATGTAATCTGCTTCCATTTTGCAAATTACTTTGAAAAAAATGAAACATAATAAAAATTAAAAGTTAAAGAAAACTCAAAATAATACATACTGATATTTTTATTTTGGGTCTCTACAAATATAATTATATAATTATGATCAGCAGCTATGGAGCCTTTATGTACAAAAGAGGGAATCCTTACATTACAACATAGGTCCATCCCTGCACAATGTTGAATGGGTATTGTTTATTTTGGTTTTACAGAATGGGGACACACTTTCTTAAAAAATCTTATTTAAAGAGAGAGCCTTATTCATATGTATACTAGCACAGCTAAACTCATTTTTAAGAGAACCTCATTCTTCATCAACTAAACCAGGTTGGTCTATAAACTTACAAGTATTAGTTTTAAATTCAGTCCATTAGCCTAAGTTTGTAGCAAACTGTGAACTGAAAAATAAAGGGATGAAAATATATTCCTTATAAACAGCATTTTTAGTGTTTTATAGATGCTTAAGAAATCATTTTTGGGTTGGAGCTTCCAACTCTCTTAAAGAAAGACCCATAGTTCTCACTTCACCTTCCTTTCATGGAGCTTTCAACCCTTTTAAAGAGAGACCCATAGATCATAATCAATTCAAAACTTGTCATCAACTGTCTAGTAACCTATGACTAAGGAAAGTTTTGGCTATTGTTTACAGTTGCTACACTGCCTCAGTTATTTCCAGTCTATCCTACCATGTCATGAGTGGTCCAGTAAAATGCATTTTTAAGTACTTCTAACTGTTGCTTTATTCTGTGTTTCTAAATTTTATAGTAGCAGTTGAATAAAAGGAAGCTGAAGGGGGAATTTCTGTTTGCTTAAGTGATGGTAGTTTTTTAGTATTGTTCAGAATGAGCACAGGCCTTTCCATTCTATTCCCAAACTCAAGTTTGATCTTACGAGTTTTAAATTTCTCTTATTTTACTGCCCCATTCATTTTATTTCCTTGGTTTGAAAGAAGTGTTGAAGTTACTTTAAGTTATTTCTGTGTCTTTAAATAATCACAGTGTAATGTCTAATGTTATATGTACCTATTAGTAATTCCTCAGATCTACCATTATCGATGTAATGTGCTTCAGCATCAGTTCAGCAAACTAAATTCCTAGTTGTACTGAATAATTCAGTAAAACTTAAAAGCTCAGATTCAAATAATTTTTATAGATAATTGCACCTAACATGCTTTCTTAACCCAAGTCTTTTCATTGTGCACAACAGTGAGCATTTTATGTTATTCATTTTACTTAATTTTGTAACTTTCTTATGTAAACATCTTCAAGTGAAGCAGAGCAAACTAACTTCTAATTCAATGGTTATATCCTACTAAGTTACAGACTCTGGATTTATACCAAACTTTTAGACTCAATTAGAAGCCTTTATGTTAAAACAGAGACCTAACACTATTAATTTTAGCTGAATACGATATTTTAATACTGGCACATCATTCCATTTGTAGGTGATTATAAACATAAGATCTACCACAGCAGTAAAAAACAAAACATCATTGGACTTGCACTTTTGCTTGTTAGGTAGGCTTCCATGTGAACCAACTTGGAAAATCAGCAAAACCTACACTTGTACATACAGGTAGTATAGAAATACAGAATAAACTGACCCACATTTCCTGGAAAACACCTGCTTTAAATTCTTACAACCCATATCTGGAGAAAAACACATTTATCCTATGGATAATTTTAAGTTTTTCACGATCTTGTTCTAAAAATACAAAAATCTTGAAAATAGATGTTTATTATTTTGTAAACTTATTGTACTGGAAATACAACAAATTCCTAAATATCAAATTTACAACTGTAGGAAATGTATAGTGTGCAAGCAGATCTAAACTTGTGCTTTTGTGAAATTATTTTACTGTTTAAGTTGTAAAATAGTTTAATGATCTGGTAGGTGCTTTTATAGTCCCAGCACAGGACCTAAAAACATTAAGCCTGTGAATATGATTAAACCTTAAAGAATATTTACTTTTTTTACACCTAGCAACACTATGATATGGCAGATATAGTACGGTTGAAATATTATTACATATATTTTGCTTTTACTCATAACTTCTTAGAATTATACAAATAACTTTTAATACAACAAAAATAATATATATTACTATACTAAATTATTTCAACACAGCAGGTTTAGCCTTTAACCTGGACATCCAACAGGGTTGGCAAGTTGGTCAACTGAATGCTTACTTTTTGACCAGTCAAAATTTTTTCAAATAAATAAAAAACAATATTAAATACTGTAAAAACACTTTTTAATCAAAGTTTTTGATTCATTTTTAGGCTAGAAAGCCCCTCTTAACTTAAAATCAAGTATTCAATGTAAACAATAAACTTTATTCATTGTATCATAGCTAAATACTTCTTATCTTTTTACATATTTTGTAAATACAAATATACTGAACAAGTTTTATGGGTCCCTGTTCTTCACTTGCTGAAACCTTTATACTGTAGGTAAGTGGCATTACACTATGCCATATTATTATTCAATTTTATGAGCCAACATCTATGATTTTTTTTGGACTTCCAATATAACATCATGCCATTTTTTGTTACACAAGTCAGTATGTACATGCATGTACAATCTGCCATTTTGACACTTTGTATCATGATTAAATAATATTACCAGTCATTATACCAAATATTTGTTTTTTAATAATATTCTATTATTACACCCTCTCATAACACAACATACAAACAACTCGGGACCACTTGATCTTTTAAGGCTGTCCCTATATATTCACCATTTATTTTTCAGTAAGTTACTGTTTTTTTTTTGCTTTTACTCATAACTTATTAGAATTATACAAATAACTTTTAATACAACTAAAATAATATATATTACTATACTAAATTATTTCAACACAGCATAACAATTAGACCTTGAGGTTTAGCCTTTAACCTGGACATACAACAGGGTTGGCAAGTTGGTCAACTGAATGCTTATTTTTTGACCAGTCAAAAATGTTTCAAATAAATAAAAAACAATATGAAATACTGTAAAAACACTTTTTAATCAAAGATTTTGTTTCATTTTTGGGCTAGAAAGCCCCTCTTAACTTAAAAGCAAGTTTTGAAATTACACCTTTTCTAATGGAATTCAAAATTATCAAGTATTCAATGTAAACAATAAACTTTATTCATTTTATCATAGCTAAATATTTCTTATCTTTTTACATATTTTGTAAATATAAATATACTAAACAAGTTAAACTTTAAACTCTTGTAAAATGCCAGCCTCTACAACAGCCAATGGAAACTCAATCTATAAGCCAATAGCCTTGTTGGAAAAGCATAACTGAATCCTAAATTATCTTTTACAAATCTTACACTTGTGCCCTCTCATCCTATTATCTTCAGAATACATCACAAACAATGTGAGGTTTCTATCATATTGATAATCTAGTAAATTTCAATAACATCACCTACTACCCTTTTTTTCTCTATAGAAAATGTTAAAATAAATGTTAAGCTCAATCTATCATTTGATTTACCACTTGTCACTGAGTTATACTGGCTTCAGGGAATTACACCCCTCATCATTGACCTTGGACAATAGTAAATAAAAAGAATCAGACTAGGTTTTATATAGGAGTGGAATGTATAGTATAATTTTGGTTATTGAGATGTGTTTTACTCACACAGTGGTCCTATATTAATATAAACTTTTTAAGAATATGCAGTACTGATGCTACTAATTTACTTTTATGAATTATTCAGCCTGTAAGATGAACCTTTCATTTCTGAAATCATCCTAGTAGCCCTCTAAACTCTGTCCAGTAAGTCAATATCCAATATTCCAAGTGAGACATAACTAGTGATTTGTATAGAGTTAATTTTTTTAATGATATATTTCACTAAATGACATTGTAAACCTTTTATCAAACTCTACAATCTTTCTTACTACAAAGTAAAATTAACTGGTATATAATTTGCAAAGCAAATCTTATCACCCCATTTAAAATCAGGATTAATATTACCAACTTCCCAATCCTCAGGCACCTGTCCACTGCCTATTGATATATGAATAAAGAAAGAGAGACGCTTGCATATCTGATCTTTGATTTTTTTTATAACCTGGGAAAAACATCATCTGGTTCAGGTTCTTTATTTCTTAGCCTATCTGCACCCCCTCCCCCCAGTGTTTGCTTTCAAGATTTATAGAAACTTACATACACAAGTAAGTAAAATGAGAGATGTATAGAAAAAATTAAGAGTAGTAGCTCTCTTAACAACAAACATATCTGTCTTTCTTTTGTATCACCAAGGGATTAATATTTCAATGATTCAGATCAATCCCTTAGAATGTTCAGGGTCAGGAATATTGCTATCCTTTCATAAAAACAGAAGAGAGCTGAAACCTGGCCATCAGCATCCTTTAAAGGCCCAACACCCATTTTAACATTTTGCTTACATATAATGTACTTTAAAAAATCCTTGCTATTCATTTGAACATTATCAGCCAAATGTTTCTCATTAACTATTTTATTTTAATTTCCTAACATCTTCTTTAACTAAATCTATAGCTTTCCTATAGTTCTGTAAACCTTGCATACTAACAATCAGTTTGAACCTCTTAAATTTATTGCATTTATCCTTGATTATTTTCTCTTTGTCTTTAGTAAGTTAATTAGGTTTGATCTGCAATGTTATCTATGTTGTTTGCAAATGCTGAATGTAACAATACAATTTCATGTATTATCTGAGATGTTTGCATGGAACATAACATTAAACTTGTAATATCTGTAACAGAGAAAAAATATACATTATATGTAATTTAAAATCAAGTGTGATATCTTAGTATATTAAGTTTTAGGGTAATAAACACACTCTAAATTCTAACTAAAAGGTAAGAGTATGTACCACATATTCTTGTTGAGTCAACAGAAAATTTCAAGAAAATTGTTAGAACAAGTAAAAATTTTATATCCTCCAGCCTAGTTATTGATGCCTCTTCAACAGGTAAAGCTAATACCTAAATTCTAGAACTTCAACACAAAATTAGGAAAATAATAATATAAATGATACTGCAAATTAATAATATATGTCATAAAATTCAAGCAAAATCATTTGAGAATGCATGAATAAACCTCTATAGTACAAGTACATATGATTATGCAAGTACTAGTATCAACAGTTTTTATATTAATTTATTTATTACTGACACTGTCGATATATTACTATTTTAGTCATGATTCCTATTAAGTATTATTATTAGCATCAGCTTTTAGCCTTTAGGACTAAGCCAACATCATTAGCGAGCATTTCTTTTCCGGGATAAAAATTTGCTTCTATTTGGGATAATTAAAAAATATATAACAATAGCAACACGTCAAATATATCTTTCTTTCACTGGAATAAAAAAATCTTATTTGTTTCTGTGTGCAATTGTTTTAAACTAATTTAAATGTTTATTTTTGAACATGATTTGATCCTTCGTACTCGAGAGTATAAAATTAATAAATTAATGAATCGTGCTCAGCTGGTGTCAAAATACTCAAATAGGCTAATTCTAATCTTAATTACCAATGTTTTATTCTCTATTACTGCAATTTTAGTTTAGTTTTTCATAACAAAAATATAGAAAAGTGTAATTTCGCAAAGCCAAAAGTGCAGTTACTGCTCCTACTTACTTTCTGGACTTTTAAATCCAACATTATCAGCCCAAGAACTCCAAGATTGTCCCTCACTTTTACTTGTGCTACCGTACGGAGCCGCCATTTTCAGCTTGTTCAACTTTATTTTTTCTTACTCTGAAAGTCGAAAACAGTCTGCCTGACGTCACACCAATCTACTGCGGTTAGCGACCTCTTCGATAAGCTCACCTAGCGTAAAGTTTGTCAAACAAATAGCACGGTTTTGTCAATACGCGTCAATAGAAAATATATTACATTAAGTAGTACAGTTAGTTGGCAGTGCTATACACTAAAAATATGACATTGAGCATGCATTATTTCACCTAGTTTTTATTTTTGTAATTAGAAAATGTAGTGATATGTGAATTTAAACTCTAAACGTGTTAAAACGTTAACAAGTTGTTGCAAAACTACATGTAAATGCGAAAAGAATCGTTTCGTGTGTTAGCGTTTTTATTTCGGAAATTTATTTGGAGGTTTTTCTCTGCTTGATAACTTTACTATATCCCAATTCACAAGAAGTTATGCGTAAAATTTACATAACCAATCAAAATCAAAGTCCTTAAAAGAACTAAATTTCATTTTCAATATTGCAAATTAAAGCCTATAATAATATATAGCCATATTTTAAATAACACTAAAAATTTAATTAGATCAAATTAAAACTTGACAAATTATCCAAAAGTATTGTTTATGATTGCACTTGCATTGATCACCATAGTTTCAGGTTAATAAGTAAAAAGTTTATATTCCTAGAAGTTTTCAACTAAATTTCTCCACAAATCTCTGAAACTAATTGTCTTACCAACTGTAAGAAATTATTTTTGTTCTTCTTGTTTTGTATTGGTAAAGTATGGTTGTAGACTAAAATCACTTTGCTTCATCAAGTTATGTAATTTAGGAGGCTTGTTCAACAACATCGCTTAGTTGAGAAACCAACAGATTATGATGAGAAGGCTCGATGGCAAGCATATCAGATACAGATTGAAATCATTTCCAAGGTGATTTGGTAAAGTAATGAACAATAAGCTGTTCAGCTGCATATTTGACAGGGCCACATTTAACATCATTAAGCAACCTTCCAGAGCAGTAACAACTATTATATATTATTAGCTGCTTTATCATGTCTTTCTCATCAGAAGAAAGTTTATAAAGCAATGTTTAAGAGAAAATTGTGATATTTTCAGGCTCGCAACTTTCCATAAGAGTAATCGGTTAGGGCCCTCTAACTGGAAATTCAGAAAATATCGAGTCACGAAATTTGTGTACGCAAAAGTATAAATATAAATCTATATTTATACACAAAGATAAAAACAAAACACAAGGGCAAGTGTTTATCGTGATTGTGTTGAACTGGCAAGAGAAGAATAAATAAACCTTTAACATTTTCTCTTGTTCAGTGTGCTTCCCCTTGTACATTAAAAGTAAAGTTAAATGTAAAAAAATGTCAAATCTAAAATATATCCTAAAATTAAATATAAAAATAAAAACAAACTACAATTCCCTCGAAATTTGCAGTCTGACACAATCTAATATTATATTTAATACAAAGAGTACTAAAATAACAGACTTTAAAGTAAAAATAAATTTCCTAAAGTTATCAAAATCCCTCTCAGGGGGAGAAATCTGGCTTTACATGCAAAATATAATAACATCACATAAAGCCATGCTTGCACACAAATTTACTTTCCACACACTACCTTCATCCACTGCGATCCAAGCACTAAAGCATGGCAGCACTCAAGCCATTACACTATTCGCTGAAAGACAAATGTCTATCTTAGAATGTCACTAGTTATCTTTCTTGCAAGGATACATAGTTACTTGACATTTAGTGAATAGATTTGTCATAAGCATTGGAGAAAGAGGAAGTTCAGTAGCATACTTTAGCAACACTCTGCCTCCAAACTGCACAAAAAAGAAAAATAAAGAAATTTCGAGAAAAAAAAAGAAAAAGATTTATACATTAGCTAAAGGGGGATATAATGCATGGTGAAGTCCTGCACTAAACCTTTACTCTCCCTTTCCTTCTGGGCATACCCAGCTGTCCTTAATTTAAAAAAATTATAAAAAACAGATCAAACTTTAATTGAGTGTCATTCAAGAAATCGCAATAACTCATCCTAGATGCATTAAACCCAATACCCAACAACATTGATACAATGGCAAAAAAACAACTGTACAACAACAACAACAAAATGGTTAACAAGGCTCACACCCTCTAGTGGTTCAGAAGTAAATCTTCAGACACAAGACGCTCAAAACTGAATTTCGATATCTGTGGTGGGCACAGTACAGATAGCCCATTGTCTGGCTTTGTGCTTAACATTAAAGAAATAAAGCTCACCCACCCTCTTTAGGAGGGAGTGATTTAACACACATTACTCAGACAAAACACTAACATAAAAAATAAATACTCTTTAACAAAGAAACTCATCTCCTTTTAATGCAGATAATATAAAATACGAAAAAGAGGAAACATAGAAAAAATAGATTACAAATCACACTTCATAAAAACATTATAAAGCGTAAAAATCATCTATCCTGTATAAAAGGGGATATTTTATGCAAAACATAAGAAATATATTAAAACAAAACCCTTAAATCAAAAATCTTACCATAACTTAACCTAAATACTAAAGAAGCACGTGTGCACTACACAAACAATGATCTTAATACTAAACATGAGAAAATAAAACACACACACACACACATATATATATACATATACACACTGTACAAACATATTGTAATTCTAAATATATAAACAATGTACAAAAATAACTTAAAATACAAAATCATTTCGGTTATTGGTCTGCTTCATCACTCCAAGGTGGGCAGCATCCATGGTGGGCTGAATGGCTGGTACACTTGTCATTGTGGGCTTGTCTGAACCCACAGTCCCTGGCTTCATGGTCGGGTGGCGATTTCTGATGTCCTGAAGTGCAGAAGTCTAACCCCACAGAGTCTGAATGTGAGACGTATCATAAATCAATGCATCTTCATTCATGATTTCTCTCGATATTGATGTTAAGACTACCCTAGGTGTGGTAGGTAATCTTAAAATTCCGAAACATCTGAAAATCCAAATAGAAAGACTCATCATTAGTTCTTTCCATTGTTCAGCAGTGATTGTGGTAGTTTCTGCAATACACAGAAAAGCCAAATAGAAACGGCTCACCATTAGTTCTTTCCATTGTTTAGCAGTGATTGTGATAGTTTTTTTCGATACACAGAAAAGCCGAATAGAAAAGAGTCATCATTAGTTCTTTCCATTGTTCAGCAGTGATTGTGATAGTTTTCTGCAATACACAGAATATTTGGTAGGTTGAATTGGACAAAGTGGTGGTTTTATTTAGAGTGCCTAATATACAGTTGTATCCATTAGTGTCCTTGTAGCTTCTATGCTACTTTACTATCAGTCCTGAAAACTGGGCTTACCATCACACCCTTCAACACAAACTGTTTATTGTGCTCTTTCGAATCAGGTCCTGCCAGTTTTCCAAAGCTTGAGCAATACCAGTGAGAATTTGTTGCTGGCCTTCCAGCACTTTCTGTGCAGTTGGTCGAGATGTAAGTATCCATTTATGCTGCTGCATGGTAAGTATGATCAATTCGTGTGGAAATGAACCCTGTAGCTTACAGCTATAGCATATTATTCAGTTCTCTCTTTTGAATCAGAGGTATAAGCTTTGACTTCATTCTTGACACAGTCCAAGTTTGACAGGAGGCACCAGGACAACTGCTGCCATAATTTTCCTCTTTTTCTATTACTTGTCCAAGGTGACCATCTCAAACCTCACTGCCACTAATGCCACCTCAGGTGTCCTTATGATCTGTCAATGCCATTGTGGGATTTGCTTTTCGATGCATGTGGTGCAGATCATCAGCAAAGACACCCAAGTTCTCAGCAAGACCCGTTCTGTGAGCCTTAAACTCGACCCAGTGGACAGTTCAGTTTCACATTGGACTGAACAGTCACCACAGCTCAGCTATAACTGTGTCCCAGTTTCCAAGCTTTCCTTCAATTACATACTCAGCAGCATCAAGAGACAGATCATCCAACCTTAGAATTAGATGTTGCATTGCCTGTTCCTAAGATCAATTATTCCAGGCAATGATTTGTCTGAAATACCTCAATAACTGGTCCAGGTCATCTATGACTTCTCCTTTTAATATCAGAGAGTGAGCTGCTTTGCATCCATTATGCACCCATGTAGTCTTGGAATAGCTCTTTCACAGGATGACTCATAGCCTCTCACAGACTAGACTGTCTTGTATGATGAAGTGCCTTCAAGTAAGTGGAATGTGTGAACCCAACACTCTCAGGAGTTCAGTTCCCATCCATAGGGCTGATGAAAGACGAGATGCTCACCCCATTTCTTAAGTGGGTCCTACCAGATCACTGATCTGCTTATAGTCTGTGATTGCCTCGACAATTTGCCTTCCTTCTTTGAGAAAGTCTCTGTTGCCCCACACTTTATCTCTTCTTCCACGAGTATTCACTGCATTGTAGTCATCAATACAGTTCATATTAATAGAGCTCATCCAACAATGGTACCTCACTTTTGATTCTTAAGGTGGCTGGGTGCCTCTCTTTGAAGAGACTCCTCTATCCCACCAATTGCTATCATTAGTGGTGAGTGTCTACTGTCTTGTCTCCTGATAATGCAGGTGTTACTTATGGTTGTAATCCACCAGTAGCCTTTCGCTCTTGACTCTCAGCTCAGTGACTAGTTAATTCACTTAATGTCCTCCTCATCTTAACTTGTGAGTGCATACCATTTTATCTGTGAGTGAAACAGCTCCTGTTGATGCAGCTCGTTCATCAACAGTTTCTTGCTTTTGCCTTATGGTGGGATGGGTGTTTCCATTCACAGATAAACGCTCTAGTATCCAAATAACCATTAGTTTCTTGCACAGTGACCATTGTTTCACCTGCTGACTTCATATACAAAATGTAATAATATCATCCAAAGCCAGGCTTGCACACGACTTCACCTTGCACACACTAATTTCATCCAATGAGATATGAGTGCAAGAGCGTGGCAGCCCCTAGCTATTATCCGATTTGCTGACAAAAAA